TTATGTCACTAAAACCTTAACAAGAACAAGAACACTTAAAGGGTAGCAATCGACACGCTTTGTACCAGATGCACAGACTACTGCAGTACTCAGTCGACTATTAAGCATATTCTGTAAACTTGGCAGCACACAAGTCGACATCTAAAGTCGGATACTTCTACCCACAGGGAGGACGACTAGCAGAAAGCAAGGCTGTCCCAGAAAGTTGCTCTGAGTGTATGCGTGAGAAATAGCGAACCTCCATGTGGGCTCAATCACCAATAAAAGATGAAGACCCGCTTTTACCGGTAAAACCCTCTCGATGATCCTTCGCGGTCCAATGGTCCTCAGCGCGGGAACAATGTGAGTTCTTAGATTTCTATTGCAAAAAGGCTTTTTGGTTCCATGTGAGGGTCTTAAGGTTCTGGTCTGCTTGGTCATCTCAGGCCGATTATAGGCCCAGTGTGCAGTTTGAGGACCATATGAAGAATTGAATTACAGCGAGGCACATCCAGTGATATAATGACCCAAAGGAAATGAATTCATTAGACCTTAAGCATGAGGTTGAGCTGATTATAAAGGAAGACAATGGAAGACCACTGTGTGTTTCTCATGTCGAGGAAGGATGCTCCAGAGCACTATTTCAAGAGCATACTATCTACGTCATCGAGTGCCGCCGAAGTACCGTTTCCAATGTCCAGGCATACTTGGAAATTCTACTGAACCTAAGTACTTCGTAGCCGAGGAATTTCGAGGCTGCACATGTGTAGACTCCGCGTCTTAAAATCCCCACAATGCCCTTTGCGCACGGACAATTTCCCAAATTGTGGGCGAAAATGTAAGGCGGGCCTCTCATTATGACGGACACCTGCACACTTGCTCGCCTGTTCCACTCTTCGTTTTCCGAATTCCAGGAAGGATTCTTGCCTCGCTTCTGAAGCAAGTGACTCGGAAGATACAGTATGTGCTACCAAGCAAGCGTACTCCACATTGAGAAACACCCAGTCTTTGGGTGTTAAGATATCAGATGTGTTTATCTTGAATATTAAAGGCTTGGATTAAATGAATCCATCAACCGCCTTTATGTTGCCTGATCTGGCAAAAAACTATTAGGTTTCCTTGGATGAGAATCACTTTTGTTGGGAGGGCAGCTTATAATTAGGGTTTAAAAAAAAGAAGGCCTCTGACTTAAAAAAATAAATAATCAAGGTACAAAAAATGCAACGGTTTACTAAGTTGGCAGCTCTTTGCCACTCAATGGACGACGGAAATATAATCGAAATTTCAGTTAAGAACTATAAAAAGACAAACATCTACATAACAATATCAGAACAAGATGTACAAAGAA